CCCGCCAATGCCTTTGATGAGTATCCCGGCGCCCAGGCCTGGGGATACAGGTTACCCCATCTCCCTCTCCTGGGAGTGGCCACTTTGGAGAGAATGTGTCTGTGGCCAGTTGCCTGTGGCTAAGGGTTCTGAAAGGGCACTGAGCCCCACCCGACCAGGAACCTTGGAGGCCAAAGGCCAAGAGAAACCAAGGAGAGTCAGCTCAGGCTGAGATGGTAGGGCAGGGCCTGATGGAGGAGTGTGCCAGGAGCCCCTAGTCACACACTGTGAGACCCCCAGAAGGTGGAGGCACAGGTTCCAAGGAGAACGGGAGCAGAAAGACCTAGCTGCCCACTCACCCCGGGCAGGCCTCCAGCAGTGGGGGGAGGCGCACAGTCCTCCCCACAGTTCTGCAAGCCAAGTGGGAAGGGCTCAGGGGGCCACAGCTCCCTCTCCTGGAGCATCACCTGCAGGGGTGATGGGTCAAGACCAGGGGCACCGGATACCCTTGACCTTGTGGCCCCCCTACCCTACCCCACCCCCACAATGAGAGCCCCTGTGGCCTCTACCTACAGGTCCATCAGAACCCAGTGAGGGTGGTGGGTGCAGGTGCTGCTTTGTCAGGACTGGGGGTGGGGAGCGGAGGGCTCCCCAATAACTGCCAGGCCTTACCACACCCAGACTGTACCTAGGAGTGGGGATGCTTTCTTTGGAAATGCAGAAAACCCAGAATCCAGATAGGGCTGGGAGTTTGGAAGGATGCTTGGTTATGAACCAGCTCAGGGTCGGCTGAGATGTGGAGGTCTGGGGAGGGGGCACGTTCCCATGTGTCCTCGGCTGCCCTGGGGGCCCCTCTAAGGATAGTCCCTCATGGGGGCTCATTGGGCCCAGGATGCTGGACGGCGGGGAAGGCAGTCTCTACTGCTTGAGCCCCACTCAGCCCCCCAAAGACCCGGCGCCTGCTCCCATCCTGACCGGGCCACAGCTAGCACCTGGCATACAGCTCAAAAACTGGACACCCACCGCTGGACATACGGATGGACACAGAGCCTCTCACCCTCCGTGTGGGGGTCTCAGAGTGCTCGATGTCCATTCTCATCTGCCCCACTATGACACACGGGCCTCACCACAGGGCCCACTTGGCTAGGCGTCCTCCAGGGAGCTCAGCCACCCAAAGAAATCATGCCAAACACACAGACATCAGAACCCTCCTTTCCCAGCCCCCCAAAACCCACAAGTAGACAAGAGCAGAAAGAGGCTGCAAAGGCCAGCCTGAGTGTCTCGGGACCCCTGCGCTCAGTGCACACCCTTGGGGCAGGCAGGTGGCTCAGAAGCCAGCAGGGAGGTCTGGGTGGAGGTGCTGCTGGGGAAAGGCCCCAAACACACACGGCTGCCCTCCCCTTAGGCCTTGCTAGTCCCACGGAGTCCTATGGACAGCAATGGCAGGGGGGACTGGACCCACCACAATTAGGGCTCCTTCTCTGGCTTATCCCCCACAGGAGAGTGTAGACAGTTTTTGGATACTGTCAGCTGTGGCCCCTAAATTTTGCTAAAGGGTCAACTTGCGTCCTGAGCTTTCCACTGAGGGTCTCAGGGCCTCTTGCCCCAAGGGGCCGCCCCACCCCACCCCCACCGCTTCCTGCCCAGAAGTATGTCAGAAGGAAGCAGGGATGTGAGGAGAATGGAGGGGGTGGGGGGAATGCGGGACGCCCCCGAAGAGTGCGCCTCTTTTCTCCCTGGTAAGGACACAGTGGGGAAGGAGGTTGGCATGGGTACCTGTGACAGGGAACACGATCCCGACAAGACCCCTTCTCCTCCCCCACATCAGCCCTGGACACTGTGTGTGGGGGGTGACTTTGATGGGTGGTGGCATAAACCCTCTCTTCTGAAGGACACAGAGAGGGGCTGATCCCGGGCTCTACTTTGGCCCACAAGCCTCTGTGGGGGTAATAAACTCATTGCCCTGGGGGCTTGGAGGACAGAGGGTAAACTGAGGCAGGTGGGAACACACTGTTCGGTTTGTGTTCCTGGGGCAGAAATTCGCACAGCTGTAGGGGACTGAAATCAGGAGCACTCAGGGGGCAGCAGTGGGGGGACAGACAGGCCTAGCCTCTGACTTCATGTGGGCTGAGCATCCAGGCCTGTCCAGAACGAGCGAGCGAGGACACAGGCGGCGGGGTGTATATACAATATTCAGGGGCCCCGGCCCACCCCTCACGGCGCAGCTCGCCTGAAATCACAGTATTTTCACATCACAAGTTAAAGGGCTGGTTCCCTTAGGCTGTCCTGTTTCAGGAAGTCTTGGCAATTCAAGAATATTTAGTAGAGAAGCAATATTTAAGAAATAAACAAAATCCCCTGTTGCAGACCTCAGGAGGCATGCCCAGGCCCAGGCAGGGGTATGAACCCTTTGAGGACACAGGGATGCCTGGCCACTGGCTCCTGGCTGGGACCCCCTCCCTGGGAAAACTGCACCTATGCCCCTCATGAGCCGAAGTGGCCATGTAAATACAATGTTGCCTGTGCCCCTGGCCAAGAGGATGCTGGAAACAGGATGCAGGGGTGGACACCCTCCCTCTCCTGCCCATCTGCACTGAGAACTGGGTGCCGGGCAGACAGGAAATACGGGCTGACGAGGCTCCCACATGGGGTCCACGATGCCTTGTTTGAAAATTGCATCCAGGAAGGTTTATAATTTTATTAAGGCCATTTTTTAAAAAGTTCTACATACAAGTCTAATGGTAATCAAACTCTTCTATGTACATGTAGTTTTCTTAAAAAAAAAAAAAAAAAAAAAAAAATGTCTCACTCTTTGCTCTCAGCCCCTACCTCAGTAAGAGGCTGGGCCCTTGACCTGGACGGACTAACCCCGGACTAACCCCGTGTCCCTTAGCCCAGACGAGGGTATCAGGGGCCAAATGACTGAGGAGGGGGCCTTCTTACACCTGTGGCAGCCCAGTCACTTGGCCACGTGCTAACAGCCCGGCCCAGGAACAAGAGAGATGGATGTCATTAGATCAAATCTGGCTCCCACGGACAGAGGCGAGGGCTCTTGAGACCCAGAGGCAGTGGCTGCGACGCCACAGAGAAGAATCACACCGAGCAGAAGGTGCGGGCCCGGCCTGCAGGCCAAGGAGCCAGCAAGAGCTCAGGATGCGGCTTCGGAGGGACTGCAACAGAAGTTCCTATTTCAGAGCAGCTGACGGAAAACAAAGACAGCCCCGTCACCCCTCCCGGGGCCTGGAGGGTACAGGGACAGCCCCCGGCACGGTGGCCGAGCCCTGATGGTCACCACGGCCTCCGGAGGCACTTCAAGAGGCACCTGGAAACCTCCCGCTACGACAACACTGCTCTTTGCCCCCCGAATCCAGCCCTGCCGGGAGGAACCATGAAAGGGGTAGCTGAAGGGGACGAATGTCAGCTGGCTCTCGGGGTGGGGGGCAAGAGGACAGCCTCATCTTGGGGATGTCAGGACAGAGGGGCTGCAGCTGTCACCAGTCTCGGGGTCTGGGACTAGTCCTCCCTGAAGACCAGCGGGCACCTTGAGGATGGCCAGGCAGAGCTGGGTCTCGGAGAGACCCTTAATAAAAGCCGTGGCTCCCTCCTGGAATTCTGCCTCTCACGTGGCTGGAGCGGAGGCACCTCTAGCCACCTCAAGCTTCTGCCAGAGAGCCTACCAGGCCCAATCCGCCCTCACTCAGCCCTTCCGTTTTGAGAGAATGTGGGCCTTAACTAAAACGGCCAGAGACACAGCTCAGATCCGGGCAGGCAGCAGACTGCTTCCAGTTAGCTTAAAAAATATATAACATGGGATTTCTGGAATAAAAACATGCTCTCAGGCAAGTATTGGATCAAAAGAGTCAGCTACTTGTCTACAACCAAAGTGTAAATACAAACCAAAAGAAACAAACAAACAATAACACAACAAAAATGCCCTGGCCGCCCCCTCCCCACCCCATTCTTTAAATAACAGTGACAGTGACCAAGGTACAGAGAAGAAAAGATGAAAACAGGTTGAGAGATGAAAAGAACCCCCAGAAACAACCCCTGCCTCCACATGCATCCCCTGGAAGGCCCTTTCGTCCTGGCCAGGAGCTTCACTTTCAGGGCAAAGGCGGCCACAGAGGGACCTGGCTGGGGGTGGGCAAAGCGGGAGCAAGGGCCCCAGGAAGATTTAGCTGCTTTGCATGCTCTGTTCACACCTTTTATATTCTACCTCCATGGGATGGATTCTAGCATTCTCTGAATGTGCTCAGAAATATAAAAGACAGCAGTCAAAATAGTGTTTATTTCGCTTTGTGTCTGCCCCTCTCTCTGGTGCCTTCTCCCCTTGGCAGGGTGGGGCTGGCTCTCTACCTAACCTCGGGCTGGGGGTGGCGGGCAGGTCGGGGGACCAGGAACGAAGGAAGGCAGTGAGAGCTGGACAACAGTCGGAAAATGCACCTCAGCCCACCGCCGCCGTGGACCACAGCGCCCCCTCCAGGCCGGCGGCCCTCCCCAACACGCTTTCCGCATTTTACAGGGGGACGGCTCATGGCCCAGGGTGGGGGGCGAGAGAGCACGCGCAGGGAGGATCCGCGGGGGTGACACGCGGCCTCCCAAGGGAGGTGGACAGCTGGGGGGCGGGCGGGTGGGCAGGGGGCGCTTGGCGGCATTGCAAGCTCAGAATCACAAGCTCGGCCGTTTGCGAAGGACGGAGCGCGGCCGTCCCTGGGCTCAGGGAGACGCCGTCGGGACCACTGACCGGCGGGGTGATGGAGCCGGGGGCTGGGCGGCGATGTGCCGGGTGTGCAGCTCACAGACGGTCCATCCGGAAGGTGTCCTCGGTGGCCGGGTCGGCCAGGACCATGTCGGGGTCGTTGAGCATGTGCAGTCCATCCAGGGTCAGGGGGTCAATCTTGAGTTCATCCAGGGGGAACTGGTTGTCCGAGTCGAAGCTGACATCACCGACCCCGGCCAGTGTGCTGGTCAGTTCTTTAGAGAGGCTGGGAGGGGACTCTCCCGTCACTGGAGCCGGGGGTAGCGGGGGGGACACAGGACAAACAAGTCTCAGCGTGGCCCTGGCTCTCTGACCCCATGCCCTGTGCCTCCGCGGCCCTGTCAATGCTCAGGGAAGAGGGGCTTGGGCCACACCAGGGGTGCTTACGTGGGGGGTTGCCCTCTAGGGGACACTGGCAATGTCTAGGGACATTTTTACTTGTCATGACTAGAGAAGAGGGAATGCTACTGGCATCAGGTGGGTGGAGACCAGGGATGCTGCTCAGCACAGGATGGTCCCACCACCCCAGAGAAAGATCTAGCCCCTCGTTATCAGCAGTGCCAAGGCTGGGAAGCCCTGAGCTAAGAGCCAGGTCAAATGTTTAGTGTGACCTGGCAGGAGCAGGGGCCTTTCCTGCTCTGCCAGGAGGTCTCCTCCATGTACGCCACTGAGAAGCAAACCGGGGTGTGTGTGCACGTGTGCATCAGGGACCCTCCCTGTGGGTTGGGGGGATGTCTGAGTTCTCCCCAGAGAGACCCGGATTCAAACCTAGGCTCTCTCCTCTACTTGCAATGAGACCTTAGGCCTTAGTTTCCCAGTCTGAGACAGGGGTATAAAAGTCCTTCTGGGCTGTTGTGGCCATCACAGGAGCCTGATCCTTCTTTCGAGTCTGAAGCTTCCACCCCCAGAGCATCTCCTGCAGACCACTGCTCACACCCCTGGGGTAGGGAGGAAGCACTAGGCCTCTAGGGGTCCTGGCCACGGACTTCTCCGTCCTGGAGATGTCAGTGGGACCACCAGGGGGTGTCACCCTCAATCCTGAGACAGTCCTGGCTTATAAGGAAATTGCTTCTTTCTTCAATAAAACCCACAATCTACAGGGTGGAGCAGAGGCAGCAAAGGGTCTGGGTTCTATGCCACGTGGAGCAGGGACTTACTCACGTGTGCTACGCATGTCCCTAGGAGCCTGGGTGCTGTGCTCGTTGGGATGCTCATTGCTGTGTGGCCTGCCGCGTGTATGTTGGCTGCATGTGACAAGCCCTGCCGTGCAGGGCCCACCCCCTAGTCACCTGCAATCCCACTATTCTCAGCTAATGGGGTTCAGGGACCTGGGGAGCAGATGCGGGGCCAGGTGAGTGACTGGCTCTGTCCTGTTCTTGCTCTGAGCATGGGACACTGGAAGCCTGGTTCAGGGTCCGGCGTGTGTCCCCCTGGCCTGTCCCACAACCCGGCAACGAGTCAAAGTTGGTGGGGTCTGGCCTCCTTTGGCCCAGTCCTGTCACGACTCATCGTGCAGGGCGGGGGTGCCGTCTCTCCCGGGGATGAGGCCTCTCGCAGCTGCCGGGCCCCCCACTCTGCCCAAGACCCCCGCCCGGGATGCCACACACGTGGCCTCACCTGTGAGGATGATGTTGGGGATGCTGCTATGGCTGGGGTAGCCAAGCTGCTGTGTGTCTGGCAGGCTCCCGTGGCTGCCCGTGAGGCCCATCATGGCCGCCTGCGAGTAGTTGAGCGTCGAGCCCGGGCTGTACAGGCTGCTGGAGCTGATGGCGTTCTCCATCATGTTGAACTGCTCCAGCTGCCAGGGGAAGCACACAGGCGTGAGGCCGGCCCTGCTGATCCCCTGGCTATTGCCGGCTGGCCTGCCCTGTGGCAGCCGGGACCACCTCCTCTGCAAGACGCCCAGCACCCACGCTCAGACGCTCGGGGCTGCTGAGCATGAGATTCTGTGCCCAGGGTCTCCCCCTCCGCCCTCTCTGAACCTGCCGAGGCCTGCCTGCACACGGCCCCCTCGGGGCTCACTGGATGGATGGATGGATGGACGGATGGAAGGAGGGACGGGTGCGTGACCTGCTCCAGGAAGCGGCCAACCCTTCTCATGCCCACACGCCCCAGACCCTGGCCTCCACGCGGAGCCAGCTCTACCTCCCGGCAAACCCACATGCACGGCCCACGCTGAGGCACCGATGCTACAGCCACTGCCTGTCCCTGCCAGTGTTCACCGCCCACCCTTCCTCCCCCTCTGCTGTTGGCCTCATTCTGTGGGCCAGGCACAGATGCCTGGGGAGGCAAAGCCAAGCCACCCCTTCCAAGGCCTGGAGACAGGAGGGAGCCTTAAGAGCGAAGCTCACGCCCGAGGGGCGGGCGGGGTCCGGGTAAGCGTCCGGGTAAGCTGTGGGCGCTGTGACCCGGGCACCCGCTCACCTGGTGGGACAGAGCATTGGCCTGCCTGGCCGCCATCTGCTGCTCATAGTACGAGTCCCCAAACACGCTGCCCAAGGTGGAGGAGTGCTGCAGACAGAAGAGAGGCCTGCTGTCATCACGGTCCCCAAGACCAGGTCGGGGGCTTGCTGGGGCTCAGGCTGGTTGTGCCCACAGGGAGGCCCCTGGAACTTCCCGGAGGATGCTCAGGATAAAGAAGGCTGAGTATCTACCTTAGGCCTCTTGGGAAAGCCACAACTTCCAGGATGGAGGGATGCCTGGCTCACTCTGAGCAGGGTGCTCCCCAATCTCAGGATGTTTCTTTCCGCCACCTGCTCCTGGGGGGCCTCAGTACCCCAATAGCCCCCAAAGAGCCATCCCCCATCTCCTCTACTTGAACCCAGGAATGGGTGACCTGGTTTCCATCAGATGGAAGACAGGGGGGCCACAGGGATTGGGAACCCCGCCTGAAGGGCTCCAGAGTAAAATATGTGACCGGGGCCAAGGCAGTAGGTGCTCTGAATTTCAGGATGAGAAGCGTACTTGGCGAACCTTGTCAGGCCCCCAGGGAGACATGGGACATGGTAGCAGGCCATACATGTGGACAGGACAGGCGCACAGAGCCAGATGCTGGCCAAGCGAACATAAGACAGGCACACAGAAAGCCCCGTCTACCTATCTGTCCATGGCTGCCTGCCTGGGGGACCCAAGGACCCATGGGTGGTCAGGCAGCCCAACTCCCATTCTTCCACGGCTAGCCGGGAGACAGGTCTGCTCCCAGCAGAAGAGCAGGGGACTGGGGACCCTCATAGGCAGAAGAGATACCAGAAACAAGAGCTTGGAGCCCCTGCTTATTCCTATGATGCCAGAGAGAGAGAGCAGGATGGAGCCCGGTGGGACATGGACGGGAGGAGGGACAGCCAGTGCATCGTGGCCAGACCTCACATGAGGCACCAGGCCGCAGGAAACAGATCCCCAGCCCGGACACAAGTCTGTTTCCTCATTGGTCAGTGGGCTGAGAGCAGTAAGAAAAACGGCCAATGTGGCAAAAATGCCACCTTTGCCCTAAATATAGCCAGCTTCAGGTTTGGAAAAGGGGGCTGCAAGGTTGTGGATGGGTTTCCCCATAGAAGAAGCAGCAGGTCTGTTCTGGGGTACCTGTTTCCATCCCCGTGGCTTTGGACTCAAAGAGGCCCAACACAAGCAGGGGACCCAGGCTCAGGTTTCGTTTGTGAGGCTGCCATCAGAGTTTGCCAGAAAGGTCTGCTCAGGGTGGAAGGGAGGAGCACAGCACACAGTACCAAAGGCCAGCTGCCTAAGGCCCGAGGTGCAGCCAGACAGACACAATGTCCACTCGAGGCGGGGGAGGAGAGGGGAGGCCCCGGCCCACGGGGCCACTGAGTGCAACCTAGGGATCCAGGTGCAGCATGAAGCCAGGCCTGGCGCCGCCCACCCAGCATGGTCTGCCCCTTAGTGGGCCTCTTGGCCATGTCAGGCCCATGTCTGGCTCGGTCCAGGTAACGTGACAGCCCTGACCTCACAGCCACTGGAGCGGCCCACCTCCCTTGCCAGCACCCAGCGGATGGATGGACAGACCAACACACAGACACGGGCTTCACAAGACGGCAACACGCTTTCTGCCGAGGATGGACCAACCCGCCTTGGTCTAGGCAAATCTCTACTGAGAAATCTGCTCCACCCCCGAATTCCTCTCCTGCCTCCTGTACAAAAAGAGACATTATTCAAGGACCAGCCTCAGGAATAGGCCCCACTCACCATTTCCCCTGCCTGGACCAGCTTCTCCCCGCCCTCGGCATCCCATGACGCCACGTGACCAGACTAGACACTTCTCGGGAGCCACCAGGGCTCAGAACCGGTGTCGATGTATCCAGAGCCCACAGATACCAAACTGACCTCTCACCTGCCCTGAGCTCACTGATGCCCTCCCCACCTGCCTATGGAGCAGGAAGCTGCACACAGATGGTCCCAGCAGGACCCAGGCCCCTGTTGGGTGGTGGAGGAAGGATCCTAGGAGAGCTCCTCCTACAGCAGATGGAACCATGAGAACAGCCTTTCCTGAACAGGACACCTGCCATCTCAACACACAGGGCCCCATGTGGGCGTACTTCTGAGAGCTGGGGAAATGGGGACAGCGGGCCACACGTCCCCCGGACTAGGGAACTCAACACTGTTCTTGCATGGTCCTGCCTGGTGAGGCAGCTCTTCTCCTTCTTTAGGAGGGGAGGAAAATCCTTTCTCTTTTGTGCCCTGAACCAAAAATGAGGCTTCAGGGCCTCAGGCACTGCTAAGAGGCTCCTAGGAGCTTCTCAGCTTGGTGACATTTTGGGGACCGCGTGGCGGGGTCCTGAGGAGGCTCTACAGCCTGGAAATTTCGGGCCCTGATGTCAGCTCTGTGGGCACCTCTTCTCTGGTGGAATGTTGCAGACAGAATTTGGTTATAAGCTGAGAGTTGTGCTAAGGGGACTCCTGAGGAACCCAGATGGGGGTATGTTGCATGTATGTGTGTCACAGGTTGGGGTCCAACCGTGTTGGGGAAAAAACCCAAATCTGATGGATGTGGTCGAGTCCCGCCTGTTGCCTGGGGCAAGCCGCAGTCTCCTCATCTGTGAGATGGGGACATGGACCCCACTCAGAGAAGCTTCCTGTGAGGACACACCCTTCTGTGAGGCAGAGGGAGAAGAGTCTGAGGAGTCAGAGCCCCAGTCACAGGCCGGCCACCGCCTCAGCTGTGCCCCAGAGCAGGTGGAGCCCTCCTCCACTCTGGGGAGCCTCAGGCGGGGGATGTGTGCACAGGCTGTGGGACCCCGGGGTGACCCTGGCAAGAAGCCTGGGGGTGTGGCCAACACCGAGGTCACGAAGGCAGGCGAGGAGCCCACCGCCTCCAGCTCGGGCTCCGCACCGGCCACAAAGACACGGCGGGAACGTGGCAGCTCCTGAGCCGGGCCTGGTGGGGCAGTGCCTTCTCCTCCCCGCCCCAGCGGAGTGGACGAGATGGGATGGAGCGAGGCACAGATGGTGGGGGACGCGGGGGGGGAGGGGGCGCGAAGCAACGCTGGGGCGCGGGGTGCCGGGAGGGGGGAGGCGGTGTCCCTTACTTGCGGGGAGCTCCCGGGGGAGAAGCCTTGATTGGAGACAGGTGAGGTGGGAGACTGGTTAGCCGGGGAGCCGGCACTAGTGCGGTACTGCTGCAGAGCCGGCGCCTGCGACGACAGACAGGTCAGGACGCGCGAGGGGCCCCGGGCCTGGCTTCCTGGGACTGGCCGTTCCCCGCCGAGCATCCCCCCGAAGACCCCCCGCCCAGCGGGTGAGCACGGTACCAGGAGCACCTGCAAGTGGTGCGGGTCCCTGAGCCCTGTCGGAGCCCGGGGCCTTTCGGGCACGTGTCTCCAAACCCAGCTCCTGGAGGCTGGGGGGGGGGGGGGGGGGGGGGGGGGGGCGTGGTCAGAGAACCCAGCTTCACGGAATCGTGCCGGAGGACCGTGGCGGGGGGCGGAGGGGTCCACCTTAGCTTGGCAGGCTTCAGAGCACCCACACGAACACACACCCGCACCCACATACACACGTGTGCACACAGCCATACCTGTGTACACACAGACACACCCACACGCACGTGGGCAACACAAGGCCCAGGGCCGGGCAGGCAGCCACTGCCTTCTGCTGCCGACTCTGGGCAACAGCACATCCTGCCCACCTCGAGGGGTGGTGGGACCGACAAACAAGGCCATGCGGGGCACACCGCAAGACGTCCGGTACCCGGCAGTCACTACACCGGCACCGCTTGGGACGAGCCTGATGCATTTGCTGTCCAGAGACCTCCCAGGGGCGGCCACCTCCTCACCTGAAGGACAGAGGGCCTTAGCTTCTCACCAGGGGCAGGACGGGCTGGGGCAGGACCTGGATTTAGCCCCTGCTCTGGTCCCAGTCCACCCAGGACCTGCTGTGTGCCTCTGGGCAAGCTCCCTGACTTCTCTGGGCCTGTTGTTCACTGAGGCCCGGCTGACCAGCCCAGGGCCCCATAAATGCTCGGTCTCCTCCATTTCCTCAGTGGCCTGTTCTGAGTAGTCTGGAAAAGGGGTTGAGCCTGGGAGGGGCACGGGGGCACAATAGGCAAGGTATCAGTGTGGGAGGCGCCATCACGGTCATTTGGCAATGACCGGTTCGGGCCTTCTTAGAGTTGGAAAGAGGAAACTGTCCAGAGGGATGTTCTCCTTGCTCATTGGAGGCTGCACGAACTCAAGAAAGAGGCAACCAGAGCCCTTGCCCCCAAGGGGCGCAAGGCAACAGAGAGCCCTGGGGGTGGAGGGGTAACATCTGTGCACCTGGCAGACATCCCTGCCTCTATTGTCTGCCCAGCTCAAAAGTGAGGCATCACCGCTGGAGGGCGTCAGGGAATGAGGTACTCCAAGCAGGCTCCACCATCAGAGCTGCCCCCACACCAGCCATGTTTCTGACAAAGAAAAGGCTTGTGCGCATTCTTGTCCGGGGGACCCCTGGGGTTTGCCCTCTGAGGGGTCAGAGCAGCTTGGAAACAGGTCTCTCTTCACCTACCCCACCCAGCTCAGGGGGCCTAGTCTCTGCAGAGCACATCATGTTTTGATGACACTTATCTTGGGGTTGGCAGCCAAGGGCTGAGTGGAGAGGGCTTGCTGTACCCTAAACGTAGTCCCCACTGCTCTAAATATGGTCAAAGATAGCCGAGACCACTCCCTTCCCACCAGGGCAACCAAGGTGAAAGTCTGAACACTCGAGAAGGTTTGGGGGTGCAGAGGTCAAAATCAAGCACCCATTACCCTGAGCCCAGGTCCAGGCAAAGGGTCCCATGGTCTGAGCTGTAGGACCCCAGGCCCCAAGCAGGGAGTCCCATGGTCTAAATTGCACGTCTCTGGCCCAGGGCACTGTGCTGCATGAACCACAGGGCTGGATTCATCCCTTCTCCTCCAAGTTCAACTCTGTCCTCCTAAGTCCCAGCAGTCTGTTCCCCAGGCCCTGAGAGTTCTGTGTCCTCCCTGCCTCCGAGGGAGCGGTTTTTGGACGGGAAGGGTTGAAGTACTGGGCATCAAAGGGCATGGGAGAGGCTTTGCAGTCAGATACAGTATAGTCCCTCTTGGGTGAAGTTTGGGACAAATGATTCCTGCTTGTGTCTCAGCTTCCCCATCAGTACAAGGGATGACAACCTTGGCCCGGCAGTGCTTGCTTCAGCCCTGACCCCTGGCCAAGCTGGTCTTGAAGGGGAGCCGTGAGGAGGCTTCAGCCAGACACACCTGAGTCTTTGGGCCTTGGGAGCCCAATGAGGGTCTCCCACAGCCCCTGGGATCCATGAGCCACCACCCCCCCCCCCGAGCCAGGCCCCACACGACCCCATCTTAGGCTTACCGAGGTGATGTCGATCCCCATTGGCGGCTGGCCCGGGTTCTCTGGGGGGGACTGGGGGAGAGAGGACGGTACCGTGACCGCGAGCGGGGGCAGCTGGGGCCCCCGCGTCAGGCTGGCGCTTGGCATCAGGGGGCCGCCTGGGGGGAGGCCGACGGGCACCTGTGGGGGTGGCGGGGGCGGCTGCTGCTGGGACGCAGGTGGTGGTGGTGGAGGGGGCTGTGGCTGTGGCGGTGGTGGCTGCTGGGAGCCCGCCTGGGTGAAGAAGGCGTAGGGCAGCTGCTGCTCCAGAGACAGGGCATCCATGGCCACAGCCTGGGGGAAGAGGAGGGCGTCACGTGGGAGGCCACTGGGCAGAAGAGGCCAGACTATGAGTACCTGGTCCCCAGGGGGGCCCCATGGCCTGGCATGCTCAGCAAAGATGTTATGGATAAACAAAGGGACATCCAGACCTTGGACCCCCTAGAGAGGACAGGCCTTTCCCAGGGCCACAGAGGGTTAGGCTGCACCTGGACAGGACCTGGGCTTCTAATCCAGCTGTTTGTGCCCTGCACCCAAGGAGCCTTTCCTTTGCCACACGCCGAGAGGTGGGCACTACCTTCCATACCCACTCAGGCTCAGGGCTCCACATTCCGGCAACCCAGCAGGCAGCCTATGCCTAGACCACTCTGGGTGATGGAGATGGTGGTGTGGCCACTCAATAATGATCAGCTCAGGCCTTCTTGGAGTGGAAAGAGAAATTTTTCCTGGTTAGAGGGAAGTTTTCAACATTTGTGAGTCAAATGTTCCTGGGGCAGGCTGGGGCTCCTGCCCTCTGAGGGAGGTTGGATGTGACCAGGAGCTACAGGATATAACACAGAACAGAAGGCCCAGCCTCTAATAAGTGGCAGTTACATGAACAAAAAACAGTTTCCAGAAAAGGCAGGCAGGTCTAAGGGAGAAGGCACAGGGGTCACAGATCGAGAGACTGAGGACACATTGCCAGAAGCTACCCATGGCTCTGTCTGGATCCTGATCTGAACAAGCAGGCGGGAGACACAGAGGGGAACGGGCTGAGGCCAGGCAGTGGAAGGTATGCCTATCAGTTGTGTTATAGGTAGATAGTGCCATTGAGGTTATGTTAAAAAACAGACAACAAAAATATTACCTATTAGGGATTTAAAAAAAAAACAGGCAAAACGGACAAATTCCTGGAAACACACAAACTACCAAAACTGATCCAAGAAGAAATAGAAAATCTGAATAGACCTATATAGCAAGAAAGGAGATTGAATCAGTCATCAAAAACCTCCCAATGGAAAATATTTGGAAATCACATACCCAATAAAGGGTTAGTATCCAGAATATATAAAGAACTTACAAAATTCAACACCCCAAAACCAAATAATCCAATTAAAAAATGGACAGAAGACATGCATAGTTTTCCAAAGACATACAGATGGAAAAAAGACACATGAAAAGATGCCCAACATCACTCATCATCAGCGAAATGCAAATCACCTCACACCTGTCAGAATGGCTAAAATTAACCACACAAGAAACAACAAGTGTTGGCAAGGATGTAGAGAAAGGGGAATCCTCCTGCACTGATGACAGAAATGAAAACTGGTGCAGCCACTCTAGAGAGCAATATGGAGCTTCCTCAAAAAGTTAAAAATAGGGGCGCCTGGGTGGCG